AAGATGACAACAACAGCAACAAACAATGTCTTGATTTACCCTAGGTTGGTGGAGTATCAAAACGTTTTGGTGGACAAGTGGGAGGAGACGTCGTTGGTCGTCGTTCACGTGGCAGACCACTGGGATCTAAAAACAAACCTAAACCTCCAATTGATCACTTGTATTTACAATTTGAATTTGAAATTATACCAAGCAGCAGCATTAACAGTACTCCAAATAAGTTGAAATTGTAAATGTTATGACATTCACACAATCTATCAATGATTACTCTTTAACATTTTTAGACATGTAAAAAATTATTTGCGTTAAATTTATAGAAAATAAGGGACAACCATGTATAAAAGAACTAATTAATAACTTAATGCAATGTAAATATTATAAAGCTTGTCTATGGTTTTTAACTTATTAGAAAGCAAAGAGAAAGACATTGGTAGTATACGTCATTTGTTCTCAATTTATAGCAAACAATATCTAAATTATTTTGTTCTTCATTACATATATATCGTAACTATGATTTGAGTTCAATTAAGAATTGATAATAACCACATTTTGAAATCTATTAGAAATGATTATAGGTTTATGTTTATATATATCGAAAATAAATTGTATTTTTGGTTGCGTTGACAATATTTTCATAAAAAATTATATATAGTTGGAAGTTTTTTATACGGTGAAAAAATATAAAATTATTCGAATGATTAGACTTCAAAGAAACGATTAAAATTCAATTAAAACACTATTTTTAGTCTTTTGATCTACATTGCTTACGTGTCAGTTGTCACCATCTTAGTGTACGATTAGTTAACTTAAAACAAATTAGATCGCGGCACGTAATATTAACTTGGACCATTTTCACTTTTCCAGAGAGACACTGACGATTATACCCTGACACGCACTAGCAACAAAGAATGTCATCTACGAACCGCATTAAAGGGTAATTTCATTATTTGCATTAGTCAGTGTAAAGCCATCACTCAGAGTCTGGCCAATTTCAGACTGGCCACTAAACTAATCAAAGACAACTTGCTGGTCCACCACAAGCCACAAGCTAATAAAATTATCTTATAAATAATATAAAATATATTTAACAGCCAAAAATGATTATGCAAACATCAAAATTCTTGTAAAATTTCCAGGTTTGTAATTCTAAAATAACTCAATGACCAAAGTAAATAGAGTCTTGCGTTAAAAAACTGGCATATATTTCATATGCGGTGAACTATTATTTTAGAATTTTCTTAAGCAGAAAAAGTAAGGAAAAATATTTTTATATATTTTATGTGGAATATATTGAATATTAAGCATTTCAAAAAGCATTGACATGGGAGACTAATAATAAAACAGATTAAGTAAAATATTATTCCAATGGTCCAAAACCATTGAACCCTTCGTCTCTTCCGCATA